TTATTTACTTTCTTTGACCGGTCAAAGGTCATGTTTCAGCATCCGTCCATTTTAATGTGTCTCTGCTAGGTTGGCGGAAGATCTCTTTTCTGAGTTAATTTGGCCATCAATCATTCATTTTGATGCCAATGTCACTGGTAAGCAATGTATTTTATATTGTATTTTCTTCAGCATTGTATTTCATGTTTTTTACGAGAAATTCACATTTCAAGTTTGTTGACAAATTTTATACATGGCGTCTATGGACAGTTATAGGCTGCAAGATTTATTGAAATTTGTTATTGTTCTTTATGATATAGAACAAGATACTTATGCACTCCTGATGACATTTGAGTGATACTTGATGCATTTTCTAACCACGCACTTTATGATTTCATATTTTATGACTGTTTTGATGTAAATTTGATTTAGTGTATAATTTATGCATTTCCATCTCGTGCCTAGACTGTTAGCTGAAACTGAACTACACTATTTGATTGAAGCTGTTTACAGTGGCGGTTGTCTAGACTGAGTCAGGGTATGTTTTGATTGTGTACTTTTTGTGGGATTATTTATATAAATGTTTACTTGTTTACTTTATTTACATATTTATAGTATTGTTAACTATTGTGAACCATACAATATATTTTCTAGTGAGGTTACTTACTTTATGTGTTATTCTGATGTTGTCAACAGCATATAAACACCTTGTTTATATTGTTGACAATATTGACAGCCTATTTGGCATAGCATTGAATGGTAATGTGCCTCTGAGATGTTGTGTACATTTATGAATATTTATGTATTTATGTTGTGTATACTGATTTGTATTATTTATTTATTATACAGGTTTTTTTGTTTTTGCTTTTGTTTACACTGGTCCAGAAATAAAAAGAACAGGACATTGCATTAAACTCTACCATCTTGTTTGTGTAATATTCTTGGCGTTACACCCACCTCTCTCGATTTGTAATATTTAAATTCATTTCGACAGAGAACGAACCATCTTGTTTTCCAGGATTTGATTATACCGCCCTCTTTAGTTAAAAATCCCTCTTTCGAAGAGATCTATAAAAAGACGATACAGTACGATAACAATAATGAATTTCTTCTAATCTTTACCAGACTCAAGTCAGAGGTCACAAAGGTCTTCATCGTGGAGTATTGCATCACAGCACTACTTTGTGATTAAAACGTGATAAATACGACAATGTTGCTATTCTCGGGGGGGGGCATCCGGGCATTTTCACCGCATGGCAACAAAGGCCGAAAACTCTCAGAAAACGTCACTTTGGGATGATTGTTGAGACTTCTCTGAACAGTGTAACAAGATTACCCCTGCGTGTGTAACGCATACAAATTTGATTGTTCAGGATTAATTTTCACCGGCTCTACCCTCGACGTTCCGCGTTCCTCAGCAGTGCGCTCAGAGCCCGTAGAAATACGTGGTATAGTGGTGCGCGTCTTAGCAACGCGGAACGTCTTGTGACATAGCTACGCCCTCGAGGATACCAATACGAGCGCACCGTTATGAGATATCACATCATTAGAACTTGGGGCTAATCACGGAATTTCCGTAAATATGACATAAAATGAAAACAATAACTACAGAACATTCAACAGGCGTTTGCAGCTAATGTCTACACATTTTACATGTTGTACTTACCGCCATTGTCTGACCAGTATTATTAGTGCATACGTTGGATTCGAAGTTTATGTCACCTCCTTCGGCGTGGACTTTCACAGTGTCGTAACACGCTGGTTCTGTTATGTTTTTGGAATATGGATACTTTAACACCATTAACGTACCTGGCAACAAAATTAATATAACAAAACAAAATTAATATAACCCAAACGGACCGTATTTTTGTGAAAGATTGGTATTTTTGTCTTGATTTGTAGGAATCTGAAAAACGCGTTTCACAACTTGCCTCTTCAGTTTTATGCGTCATTCAAGATGGCGGCCCCCATACAGTAAATATCGTATTTATTTTATTATCACGTGTGCGCCAGCTGACTGTGTTCTCTTGGTACAACAAATCTCTTTCTTCCATCTTTAGTCTTCGCGCGTTTTCGAAATTTATGTAAATAAACAATGTAGTTTCCACGCATTGTATACGTCGCTATGGTTCCCATATCAAACAGGGCGCGGTGCGACGACCACCGCCGTTTAAACATTCAAACACTGAATCTCAATCAACAAGAACAGTGCGATGTCGTTTTAGTTTTAATTTTCAGCGTCGTACAAATGTAAATATGAACAGAACGAATTTGTTGTGCCGAGGTACTATGAATACCACGCGACGAACCACGTGAGAACGATGATGTCACTTCCGGTAATAATGAAGATTCGTCGTTGACACACGTCGTATACATTGTGACTGTAAATTCCCAGGATTGTACCAGGAAATCACGTGACGCCAATGATTATATTGTTTACATTATCTGTCTTCTGTTCGCCATTGTAATGTAATACAGTAAATTTTCTGTGTGGTTGAGGTTAATAATAGGTAGTGCCGGAAAATTACCTCTCCGGAAAAATTGTTCAACCATTGACTCCGAAAAAGCACTATTTGAAGAAACTACGTATACTAAACACATTATAAACTTCATAAATATGAGTAACTACAACAAATTTTTGAAATTATTGGGTGAAACAAACCTGAATTACAAACACCAGTTGCCCAATTTATAAAAAAATAACACGAACCTTAGACAGCAACATCTTCTGGCAAATTAACATAAATAATTTTCTCCTATAGTCATGTTTCTTGTTTCATTTCATTTTTTTTTTATTATCATCACCAGTTTTTTTTTTTTCTAGTAGTTAGTGTAACTATTTTAATTTAGAGGAATTTTAAGTATTTCAACAAAACTAAAACCTAAAACTAAACTAAAAGAATCTCTATAGAGAGTCTATGACCGGTGCAATATACTACGTATAACTGAGCACATGCGCATGTGCAATTTAGTTTATTTGTTGGATGGATCGATGTACGTACCTGTATCTCCCCCAATCATTGGCTTCTTAGCAAAATGATCTAGAAGTTCGCCGACGTTTTCAAATGTAAGCATACCAAATTTGTATTTTTTACCATCCCTGCCTCGCAGTAGCCGAAAATGTTTAACGGAATCGTGACACCTAGAAAACAAAATATCACATGATACCACTCTGGTAAATGCACACAGTAGTGAACTTCACGTCTCAAAAAATCGCAATAAGTATGTTAAAGCAAAATAAACTATTAAGTGAAAGAAAAACACACACAAAAAAAATTAAAATGATAAGGTAAAGCGGCAACAGCTTTAATTTTAAACATTGTTTTTGTTTGAATATAACCACATAAAAATAATCAAATCCTACCGAATTGTTGTTTTAGATCGGACGCAATTGCATAGGGAAAGTGACCCTACACAAGACTACTGTTATATAACATGCGATGTAAAGACTAAGTCGCACTTTGGTTGAATTCTGTCACGTGAAAGGAGCCGTATTAAATTATGACGCACGGCGTACACTATTATGGTAAGTGATATAAATTCATCGGTGAGAGGCCGTCAGAGAGAGGCTTAATCTCTCAGGCATTATGACACAACGACGCACACTATTATTGGAAATGACGTATAAAATAATCAGTGATATGCCGTCAAAGAAAGGCTTAGACATTTCGCCCAGAGCCCCTGGTAAGTTATCCTCTTTTACCGTAATCCCCGAAGTTCGCTTGACAGGGATAATAAAAAAAATTGTATCATCGTATTACAAAGTTGTTTGATCAACATTAGTTTCTTTCGCAAAAAGAAAGCGAAGGAACAAATATTTGCGAGCACAAATATGATGCCGAAAACTCTACATGTTTACGTCCTATCTCACTGTGTATACAAATATACTACTGTACTGTGTAAACCAAGTTATGCATATTATATTTAGTTATTATATATTTCATTTTATAAAATTCATATAAAACGCAATTTTGTTTATGTCAATAAAACGATTTTGTAAAGAATGTTTAAAAGCGGGAATCGTCATCTGCGCATGCGTTAGATGGCCATAGCGTGTCATTGTTTACAATCAAGCGTCTTGCCATGAGCCTTTGCGTTTTGCGTGTGTTGTTATCGTCGCTTGGGACTCAATTCTGCGCGTGCGCAGGTGACGACCCTCCCGCTTTAATCTTGATACTGTCTTGCACTAAAAATTACATCGTCACCAGTGAAAAAATTACACTGAGTTCAATTACCTGACACTTAGGGTGTACTCCCCGGGGTTGTTATTACTTGTGCGCAGTAAATACGTCCCGTCACGGCCATTCTGCAACAAAACACTCTCTGTCACGTGACGTGACAGATCACCATGGAACCACCTAGACACACAGAAATCGGGGAAGAATATTAGCAATTATTTCGGTAGTTATCGGAAATAAAGTGAACAGCATGTTGAGAAATGAAATGCTGGATTCAGAAGACGACGTAAAGTGAAACAGATATTCATACTTCGCAATACAAAGTTGTGGAATGGCAGTCTACTTTGTATGTAACATTTGTGGTCGTCAAGTAGGCTGTCGACTCTCTGCATCAAGAAAGTCTGGACAGAATAATGTCCAGCTGTGGAATTCCACCAAAATTATTTTTAAAAAAATATTCAAACTTTGTACGAAAATGGTGAAGGTGTTATATTAGACGAGGAAGAGAGTCTGCAGGGGCGGATTGATAATCTGTGCGTTCTGGAAAAGTCCAGAACGGCCGTCCGGTCTACGGAAGTTGGGCCTCAGCACTAACCTTCAATATCCAACATTCAGAATGACTGTTCAGTGTAATTATTGATGGCAAAGTCAGTTATAAACAACAGTGGTATACATTTTTTCTCTTTAAATTCAAGCATAGAAGTGACTGTAATAAGGCTGTATAAAAGACTAGACGCTCATTTTTTTAGAAGATACAAATGATGTTTAGTCGTTTTTGAATATTAATGTTTTTGAATTCGTGAATAAACAATCATAAATAGTTCATCTGTGTGGGTATGTTATGACAGAAAATATACCACTATAGCACTACCTTCTCCTTTTGGTGGGTATATTGGCGGGAAAGTCCAGGGACAGTGAGAGACTGAATAGTTCAAGATAAAGACTGGAGTGAAGCAAAGTGATGCCTGGTTTCATTTTCATTTGTAGTAGACTGAATTAAAGGGCGGCAGTCGTGCCGCGTCCTGTTCGATGTGGGACTCATAGCGATGTATACAACGCGTGTAAAATACATTGTTTATTTCCATGAAATTTGTACACGCGCTGCGCGACGACCACCGCGCTTTAAGAATAGTGCTACAGACGGAAATAAAACGGGGACCAGGTAGAAATTCATGGCAACATTGAAAGATTTGAAATTCGCCAATGACATCAAACATTAAACTTATGCAGTCTCAAAGTATCTAAGCTAAATGACTGGACTGAAGATGAATAAAAAAGAAACAGAAGTGTCGAGCAAATTCAACAGCAGAACCATCAGTAATGGCCACCAGCAAGGTTGCTTTAAGAACCAAACTAAGACAGTTCAATTTACATTATCAATCGATGAAAGTGAAAACAAGAGACTAGACACATTTTAATTCGAATATCTGAGAAGAATACTCACAATCAGATGGACACATCGCGTATCCAATGGCGACATAAGGAAATAGCATAACAGCGATGAAGTCAAATGGAAAATGAAGTGGCCACGTGCTGGACCGGAGGGTAACTACCATTGCATGGGTACCAGAAGGCACGAGAAACTAAAATTACATAGAGGCGAATGGTGAAGAGGGACAGAATGCAATGGAGAGAGATCGTTGCGGCCTTGTGAACCAAAATACCCGACGAGGATAGATGGATAGCATTTAGCTCTTGCCAGTTACATCGTGACAACTGATATAGACAAATTAAAGTTACAATATGGATTCAGTGGGCAGTGTTTGCTACACGGATGTTTTTGATTGTCCACGCTGCCCAACGAATTTCGGATTCCATTTCAACAAGATAAATGGCTACTTTTCAATTTGGTTTAATATTAGTTTGGTTTAATATTATTTTGATTCAATAATATTTGTGAAATATGTTCCAGTAATTTAGATTACCAATTAAATATTGCCATGTACGTTTCTGTATAAAAGTTGTCATGACAGTCAAATTCAAAACCTTAATATTTTATGGTGGCTTAAATTCCGTGTTATATTTGACACTTTCGTGTTATATTTTGTTTTTGCTTTATTTTAGTCAAAATACATAACGTGGACGTCATCATGACCTTTAATTTGTTGTTGCCGAATACGTAAGACATGTACGCTGATATTTTTCACAGCATTAGCGTTTTCTCAAACGTACGTCACAGACGACAGACGATTAGTAATAAAATAGGATAAAGAATAACAAAAAATGCTTTATTCCAACCGTTCAGAAAAGTTGACCTTTCTAATTTGAAACTAGCGGCATTTCAACGATTCTATTTTATTAATTTAACGTCACTCTGAAATAAAAAATAATAATGAAGGAGGGTGGCTGTTAAAATGCCCCAAACATTTTATTAAACGTAGATGGTGGTTTTACATCAGAAAATAATGCCGGCGTTAGACTTAACCACATTTTATTCTTGCCTAAATATTTACGCCGGCCTAAATATGTAACGACTGGGAAGAGGTGCCAGGATCGGCCTTAATTTTAATCCCCAAGCCTCAATAAAGTATGATGAAAAGGCACCAGATTACGTAATCGCCATTAACGTTGGCTAAATATACAAATCAGGTTATAACAAAAAAATAAATAAATAAATTATATAGCGCCTGACTCAGTCATAATCATGGAGGTAATGTAATGTTCTAGGTAGATTGAAGGGAACCTCAATCCAAACAACATAATGACCCCTAAAGAGAAAGCTCCACAAATGTAGGAGAATGCAATTTACACATTTTTTATAACAGTTTTCATTCTCTAGATATTCAACTTTTCATCGTTAATAAGTAGTCAGCCATCTTGATTCTCAAGCATAGGATTATGGGTAAAGTATGACATCATAGAATCTGTTGTCAGAAATTGAGAAAATTATTTCATCTATAACATGAGAAATACTGATGCGAATTAGTTCAAATTTTCGTTGTACATATTACTCATGTATATAATTATAGTAATGGAAATGGCAATTTTACAAATACACATAAAGTGAAGATATTGTTGAAAACGTTAAAAAAATAAAAATCAATATTTTAGTTGTGAAATATAGAATGTCACTTTTGTGTCCCCTTTTTGCACTCAACATGTGATATATCACCTATATAACCTACTCATGTTGGTAAAATTGTATATAAATATAAGGA